CAGTCAGCCCCTGGCCTGGTTTTAGCTGCTGATAATGAGCTTCTCCATCGTGTCTTCCCACAGATGTCGTCCATTTGATTTGTATGCATTCTACCTGAGAAGTCTGCCATTTGTATTGTGGAAAAGTATTTATGAGGAAGAAGTCATTGGTCTTGCAAAATTCTAACACGTAATCTGTCACTAAGGCCATATTTTCAAATTACTGTTTCTTCTGCTTTATTTCAAGCTTTTGCATTCCAATTGTCAATAATTATCCATGCATTTTGACTGCATGCTCAATCAATTTCAGACGGAAAACTTTGCTAGAGTTTTTTTCCGTTTCTGAATCACTAGCCTTAGTGATTGGAGCATAAAATTGAATAATAGTTGTAATGATTGGATTTCCTTGTATGTGGGTAGATATTATTCTATTACATTATTCTAAAACATCTTTTTCATGATAAACACAACACCACTCCTCTTGACTCTGTCATTCCTGGCATAGTAAACCATATGATCTTCTGATTCACAATGGCCACTATCAGTTTATTTCCGCTAGAAATAGCACCTAGAATGTGGACCTTTTTGCATTTCATTTCATTTTTGACTACTTCAAGTTTTCCTAGATTCACACTTTGTACATTCCAAGTTCTGATTATGAATTGAGTAGCTCCATCAGCAAATGAAGGTCCTGCTCCATCAGCAAATGAAAGTCCTGAAGACTTCACTCCTGTAGGCTTTACTCCACCTGCACTATTACAGTGGACTCTAATTTGAGAAGGCAGCCCCTGATAGCCTAGTGGTTATTTATAGGACTGGGATCCACAAAGTCAGCAGTTTGAAACTACTAGCTGCTCTGTGGGAGAAAGATGGGGCAGGCCCTGTATGGTCGTCATGAGTTGGAATCAGCTCAATGGCTATGAGTTTTTTTTAAATTTGTTTATTTATTTTTGGTTTTGGTTTTGATTCTGACTCGAGAGGGGTCTCCTGGCACTATCTCTGACAGTACTCTGCTTCTATTCAAGAGGCTTTCAGTATCCGGCAAATTTTCACTGCTACCCATGGGGTTTTCAGTCGCTAATTCCTCAGAAGTAGATGGCCTGTTTCCTCTTTGTCATCTACTCTTCATCTGGAAGCTCTACTGAAATCAATTCACTTTCAGTCATCCTGCTGGTATTTGAAATACCAGTGACATAGCTTCCAGCATCACAGCAACACACAAGTGAGCACAGTCCAACAAACTGACAGGTCAGTGGTAGAGTTATTCAGATCGACCTTAATAACCCTTCCCTACACATGACTCTTTATATATTTTAGTTATCCTGTTGTTGTAAGAAAAACACAAATAACTAGAATATATCTTATGAAAAATTCACTGAGAAGAGAAACGGACATGAATTACAGAAAGAGATTTGCTCAATTTGCAGGTTATCCAAGTTCCTTCTTTCAAGACTTTTTAAAAAAATCGAATTTTCAGAGCCCTGTTAGCATAATTACTCCTTGGCTGCTAACCAGGCGAGGTCAGCAGTTTAAACCCACCAGGAATTCTACTGGAGAAAAAGGAGGCTTTCTACTAAACTGAGTTGTTTACTAAAGGATGGTTCAGAAGAGAATCTCCACATATCAATCTTATACTGCACAAGAACACAAGGCATGCCATTCGTGCACTGGGGTGGTGGGGAATTTTCCATTTTGGCCAGAGCTGCCAGGAACAATTCAGATGTAAGGTCCCTCCTCTCCGAATGCCTCCTTGATAAGAACATTCCCTAATCTGGGGTAATCCCATTGTTGACCGTGAATGCATCAAAACTAAGAACTCCTTGAGATAGAATGAGCCTGTCAATTTGATTATATTCCCTATTACAAAATTATTTTCACTATGTTTTGGATTTGCAAGGCAAGTATATAATGTCATTGCTTAGTTATGCTAGTCTATAGCTTATGGTTAAATTTTTCTGTGTTTCACTGGAGGGGAAAAAAGAAAGAAAAGAAAATAGAGTGAATAACTGAAGGTATGTCAGCTTTGAAACAGCTTTTGTTTTATTCTCTTTCAAGCAAAGCCAAGAAGTCTGCCAAATGGAAAGTGGTGGAGCATGAACAAGACTCCCCAGGGAAGGACAGGGCAGCACCAATCTCCATCCACTAAGGACTTACGAGATGACTCACAGGTCAGAGAGCAGTGTATCTGCTGCTACTGTGACACACGTGGGGCCTGGAAGGACACCTAACATTTACCCGTGCTTTTGGCCTTACGATGCATGTTTTCATATGTGATCTGGCTCCATTCCAACAATAACCCCAAAAGGTAAGCAGATCAGGTATTACTATTTCCATCTTACAAATGAAAAGAATGGGGACAGGGTCCCAAGGGTGATGAACAACAGAGTGAAAAAGAGAGAACTGCTGTATCAGGACTTGATTTATCTTTACGGCTGAGTCTTAGGACAATGTAAGTACCGATCACATTCTATTTCCCCACTCGGTTGCTGTTGTTTCCATGCGATAGCAGGAGTAGACCTTTAAGACATTCTACTGAGTGAAATAGGTCTGCCACAAGAGGACAAACAGGATCCCACTTAGATGAAGTACCCGGAGTACGCAAATATAGAGCGAGCAGAGTCTATTCGAGATCACCAGGAATGGGAAGGAGAAGGAAGAGGGAGCCATTTCTCAGGGGCACTGAGCTTCTGTCAAGGACCATTGAACATTTTGAAAATAGATAATGGTGTTGGATGCACACACAGTGAATGTGATTCATTTCATTTAATTATGCATGTAAATATGAAATAGCAAGTGTTTTAAGTATACGATGGTGAGTCAAAAAAATCACTATTACAAAATCAGAGAAATCTTTATTAAACAAAAATGTAAAAATATAACATTACGATTTCTTGATGTGACCTCCATCTAGGTCTGCATACTTTTGGAGACAGTATTTCCATCTCGCTGACCCATCCCCAGAGAAGTCTGTGCGATTCGATTTACATCATGTGAAAGTAGCAGGTTGGGTATCCTCGAGCAACATATATTCTCTGTTTGGGAAACAACATGAAGTCTGAAGAGGCAAGATTAGGGTGATTGTACGGATGGGCTGAGGTTTCTCAGTGAAATTCTCGTAGGACAGCATGTCATTTGTGAAGAATAAACAGCTGTGTGGTTGTGATGGAAAAAATCCTCAGTGCAATTTTCCTGGCCTTTTTCTCACCAACGCAATTTTCACGTTTCTTAAAACTTCTTCTTAAGAAGGCTCTATGCTTTCCCTGTGTCCTTCAAGAAAATCTGTCCCTTTGTAATTCTGAAACATAGTCGCCGTATGTCTATTGCGCTGGTATCTCTGCCTTGAATTTAACTGGCACAGTCGAGTCCCTCAGAGCCACTGTTTTCCTCGGACCGCGCTCTCCATACTACTTTAGGAAATTTAAAACTTGACCCCTGTTGGGATTTGTGCTATAAAATAATCTTCGGCAGCTTACATTCTGTTTAAAAGTCTGATGAAAAGTCAAGTCCTTGAGCTAGCCGAACTTCACGCAATCATTTGGGCACCCATCCAGCTGAATGAAACCTTGCTGAGGCCAGGGCATTCACTTCATGTTGAAAATGCCTACCCATGTGTGCGCCCAGTCTTAGTGGTTCGCGCATCAACGGTGACGCTACGGCCTTCTTCCCCAGCTTCAGTCTGTCAGCCAGTGTCTTTATGCTCCAAGGTGGAGGTCTTCCCGCTCCTGGTTCATCTTTGAGGTCTTCTAGACATTCCTTAGAATGTTCAACCCATTAAAAAAAACCTGTTGTTTTATATGGAAAAACATTCAAATAATCGTGTTGCATAGCTCCAATGATTGGGGAAGATGTCTGCTTGAGTTTTCTTAAACTTTTGATATTAGCCCTTATGTCAAAATCATTTCTTTCCCCAGAACACAAGAAAAGCACATGCATGCATGTGTGTCACTCTATGGACATTAAGATGAGAATACACTGAGAGTGAATTACTACATCCATTCACTGATTTCACAGACAAGTTTAAGCACATTTTGTTTGAAATAAACCCATGTATGCACAAACAGGAACCTTAGCAGTGATGCTTGCTCTCTCTCTCTCTCTCTGTCACACACACACACACACACACACACACACTCTCTCTCTCTCACACATACACACTCACACACACACACACACACACTCTCTCTCTCACACATACACACTCACACACACACACACAGAGGCTTCAAAAAAGTTTGTGGAAAAGTAGAATTAAGAAATAAGGAAATGCTTTCTCTACCTTTTTTTGCTTGTACTAATTAATTTATTTTTGCATTACCTTGTAGAAGTAACTTTTTTCTCAATATTTTTGTTGTGTATAGTGCAGTACAAAAAATTGTCCAAGCAAGGACAAACATTTCAAAAATAAGAAAATTGGGAAAGTGTAGTAGGAAAAGAGAGAAACCAAGCATGAGCAAATGTTGGAGAGATGTCGTGTTTGATGGAGAGAGAAAAACAGCCTGGCTGTAGCAGACACTGGTGACATAGGAACTATTATAAAATAATGTGCAGTATAGAGGGACAGGTAACACAGTGGGATTGGTGGAGTTTGAATTGGAATTTTCAGCCCAATGCAGAGCCCCAATAGGTTAATTTTGGAACATGTCAATATTATGGGCAAAATATAGTGCGTACAGCTAGCTACCTTATACTATCAAATGATCTTTATGAAATGGTAAGAATTGTTTTCCTGAACATCCTAGGCACTATTATTATTATTCCCATTTTTCTGAAAAAGAGACAGGTACAGAGCGATAATGCCCGAAATTGTGCAGATATTAATGGACACACGTAGAATGTAAACCAAAGCTAACTTCGGAGTTGATGCTCTTCGTCACTGCAATAGATAAGGAAAATGAAGATTCTTCTGAAATTGTTTTGTATCGTTCCTCCTGTGAGCTACCTTGTAAGCCAACGCACACATCTGTCCCATGAGGCATCATCTCAGAGGGTTAGAGGTTTGTGGAGGAGTCACCTGTACTTGCCTGTTCAGTGGGACCCAGAAAGAGCCGACATATAAACTGCTGGAAGTGGGATTTTTCACATCTGAAAACTTCACCGGCTTCAAGTTATAGGCATACAATAATAAAACCTAGAAAAATAAAAGACATAAAACCTGGCATCACAATTATATTTTGCAACTTCTCAATAAGTGTCTCTTCTTTCCAGGGTCACGGTCTCTCTGTGCTGTCACTTGTACCTTCCCTTCCTCTGCTGGTCATCTAACTCAACACACGCACACACCACCCCTTTCCTCGCTTTAACAGAAACAAACACCTCTTGGCAATCAATTCATACTGTAGCAATTTCCTTTGGTTTAAATTCTGACAATATATTTAGCACCAGTCTCTACAATAAAGACTTATTTATAGTTATGGGATCATAAAATGTGAGCTTCATAGAATCTTAAAAGTGCTTTTATCAAAGTCCTTCATTTTGATTATAAGACACACTCAGAGCTGCCGGTCAAAAATAAAGAATTGAACACAAGCATTTGTCTCTACATCAGTGGTTCTCAACCTTCCTAATGCTGCAACTCTTTAATACAGTTCCTCATATTGTGGTGACCCCCCAAACCATAAAATTATTTTCGTTGCTACTTCATCACTGTAACTTTGCTGCTGTTATGAATCCGGTGACCCCTGTGAAGGGATCATTCGACCCTACAGAGGTCGTGACCCACAGGTTGAGAACTGCAGCTCTGCATCCTTGCACACCACACTAAGGCAAGGACAATGGAATATTTTCTAAAGGCATAAATCCACACAGACAGGAAGAACTAAGAGAGGAGGTGGAGCAGACAAGAAATGCGGACACTTTAAAGAAGGACGGACAACAGTCGCAAGAGTGCGATGGGCTCAGCAGAGAGCAAAGTCTCGATCCTAAGAGCTTCAGAGTGGCGCCAACAGGACGCAGCCCATGAGCTCTGGAAGTGCTGAAGAACCAGGCACACGGCGTCCTATCAGGTGGGAGAACGGGAAGACAAATGGAGCAGTTAGATGCCATCCCCCCTCATCCTATCTTGCCCCTTCCTTCATCTCCTCTCTGCGGGCTGGTCTTCCATGTTGCTCTCTCCTGGGATTCAATCAGAGGGGCTGTAGGTGCAGGGGCTTTAGGCACGGAGATGAATAGCCATACTAGGAACCAGACAATGAAGTGAAAGTCTGTATTCTAAACATGATACTTCTCTACCCTCTCTCCCAGCTGGTTCCCAGAATTAGAAAAACAAAACCAAAACAGGCTTACATACCCCTTCTCTAAGCAGGAGTCTAAAATAATTCTCTTTGGGGAAATACACCAGCCAAAGAGAAATGACCTACAGATACTGACATTTTGGTATCACCCAGTGAAACTGCTGGTTCCTTCTGCAGTTATGCTACCATGAGGTTTATAAATCAATGAGCCTGATCCAATGTGCTCTGTAGGGCTTCCCTCTAAACATGACTGGCCAGCTAAGGGTTGTTAGACAAGTAATGAAAGGGAGAGACCAAAATTAGCAAGCGAATAGAACTTGTAGAGTCAGATACAAGACGGAGAGCAGAAGAAAACTCCAGTGAATCCATCGTTCACATCCACAGAGAGAAGGAAACCAACATTGCATCCGTGAAATGAGAATGTCGTTCTATGGAAAGTGAAACAGGAGAAATAATGCTTGAAATTTTAAGAACCAAAACAGAATAATCAATGTCTAGTTAACCAGTTGCTGTCAAGTTGATCTCAACTTTCATCTGTGTCAGAAATAGAATTGTGCTACGTAGGATTTTTTCTGGCTTATTTTCTTGGAAGTAGTCACTAGGCCTATCTTCCAAGATGCCCCTTGTGAACTCGAACCCTCAATTTTTTGGTTATCAACTGAACATCCCAAGCATTTGCATCACACATAAACAAATCTCCAATAAAGTTTTTGAAATATAAAATTGAACATATCCTCCCGAAATTAAAATATAAACTTCAAAAGATAGTTAATAGGGAAGAAAAGGTAAAAAAAATGTAAGACAATCAATCCAAATGGTCCATTATCTGAGTGACAGACATTCCAGAAGGCCATAATGAATAAGGGAAGGAATCGTCCACCAGAAAGTATCTCTGTCAACTGAAGAACAGTCCTTTCCAGATCAGAATGGCACAAAAGACAGCAGACCCACACTCAGGTCCATCCTGGACCTTCACAACACCCAGACAGAGGGAAGATTCCCCAGAGCTTCCAGAGGAAAACACAAAGAACTGGAAATCAGAATATGATGTGACTTCTCAATAGTTGTGGAGGATTATCGGACAGAGTGATACCCCTACATTTTGAGGGGAAATTCCCTTTAACTTAGAATTCTATGCTTAACCAGATAGGGCAACTAGTGATTTCCGTGTTTTTAAATCAGGTAACGTGTATATCAGGGTCCGATCCTTTCTTTATAGTTATTCACTCTGTATGCTGAGCAGATGGACGGTACGAAGAACATGAGATCAGGATCAGTGGGAACCTCACTAGAACGGGTGGTATGCCGACGACAGACCATGCTTCCCCAAAATGAAGATAATTGAAAGCCCTTGCTGATGAAGGTCAAAGATTACATCTGAATGTAAAAACAAACAAAGCTTACACATGGACTTAAGAACATTAGAATGAAGAAGATTACGGCTTCCAACAGTTTTATTCTACTTGAATCAATGATCAACATACATGGAAGAGCAGCAAATTGTGTCACACACACACACATTTCACCACAAACTAAAATAAAAGCTGCACCGGTACTTATGGCTAATGTACATAAGGCTACTTATGTACAACCAAACACCTCCTAGGATTTGGTTTCTTGGGTTAGGGTTATGGTATCAAAGGACACCTACATTCATTGGTCAGCTATTACGACTAGTGCTTCCATTTGGTCTCCTAGCTTCAAAGGTCTTAAAAGCTTTCAGTTGGCCATTCAAGATACAACAATTGATCTCTATTTAGAGCAACAGAGAAAAAAAATCAGGACTAGGAGGAGGAAATGGCATGTGTTCCTAATTACCTCCATTAACCACTACCTCCTTTGTTGTGAAGATCTGCATGGTTGCCAGCTACCATTACTGAATACTCTGATCAAATATTGTATAGAAGAATACTGATGAAAAGGGGGAGAACAGAATAGAATTTCAACTTTTGATGAAATCCACATTTTTAGAGCTACTGAGGCTGGATGAACCCCTGAAGCTATTGCCTTGAGATAATCTGGGAACCTTAATCCAAAATTTTCCTTTGAAATCTTCAAACCAAGCAATAGTTCAACTTAACCAGTAAAGTATCTGCCTTGAACACTATGCTTTTCAATAGAATTATCTGTATGGGATCAAATTGGCAATAGCAACCTGTAAGTCTAGATAGAAAACTTAGTGGGTGGTGATATTGTGTTAATGGGGAAAGTACACTTTGGACAAGAAGGGTGAAAATGGTTGCATAGTTTGAAACCTCTAGTTACTATCACTAAATTGTACATTTAGAAATTGTTAAATTATTTAGTATATGTCTGTGTATACGTTCAACATCAACAACAAAATTAATTATTTTTCCAAGAAATCAAATATTATATTGCATTGGAAAAAGCTAATGTAAAAAACCTCTTGAAAGTTTTAAAATGCAAAGATGTTGCTTTGATAACTAAGATGTGCCTGAATCACATCCTGGTCTTTGCAGTTTGGGACAATGACAAAGAAAAAACGGAAGAATGAATGCAATCAAAGTGTGATGTGGGTGATAAGCGTTAAGTCTTAGACGAAATGCAACTACAGTAGAAAGTTCCTTAGATGAACGGACGTAAGGCTTTGGCTGGCTGGCTTAGTTTCCGTCACCAGGGATGAGGACCCACTAGAAAAGACCGTCATGGTGGGTAAAGAAGACCAGCAGCAAAACCAGGAACCCCCTCAATGAGATGAACTGACACAATAGCCACAACGATGGAATCACACATGCCCGTCAAGGGCGACGTTGAGTTTTGTAAAAGGTCTCCCGGAATCAGAGCCAACTCAATGGCAGCTAACAACCCCCACCCCCACCCCCCAAGTCCTCGAGCCTGAAGCAAACCAAGGAAAGCCTGTGGCATTTCTTATAGCAAATGACATTGATACTTGGATTCTGGCTTCTATTTTATCTTCATTTCTATCAGTCCGTTCCCATAACTACTTTGGCTACATAACAGAGAATCATGAGTCTCCTCTGCAGATGAGGCGGCAGCTTTCATGATCAAGTACCTAATTGTATACCGAGGGTCAGTCCACAGATGGCTTGTGTCTTGTGAACCTGAGAGAGAATCTTGGCATCTGCTCCCAGACCCTCAGACCTTCCTGCTGGTTACCTGTGGTCTCTTTATCCTGCCGTACATTTATCAGAGTCGTTCCGAAAGTCACTTTTTGGCAGTCTGGTAATTCCTTTGAACAAGAAAAACAAATGGAAGGAGAAGGCAGCATTTAGCATGCAGCTGGAAGAGATAGTGAGCCCCGGTGAGAACCGCCAACATTGTGACATAACTAGATGAGAAGGACGTGGCAAAGGGACGAGTGTGTGTGAGCGGGAGAAAGATGCCCACATTGACCGGAGCATGCTGACTCCTCCTCTCCACGGTGATATGTTAAGTGGATCATTGAAAAACAGACATGGAATGTCGAATTTAGCCATAGGACAGAAAACACCATAAAACCCCAAACGCTGAAAGAATTGAAAGTTATTGCACCTGAAGAAGGGCATTTGGGGTGGGAAGGGTTAGCCAGAGGACTGAAACTCACTATTAGTAGTATCAGTTTTTAAAAAAATGGAATTGATTTCTTGCTTTATCACTTTTGTAGCTTATTATAATCCAACCTGGCATATCGTATGCACTCAATAAATGCTCTATTAGTTTGTAAGCAGCTTCATAACACGTGCTATGTTATGAAGAACACAATATTAGGAATCAGAAGATGGAGGGTCTCATTTATGTGTCTATCACTAATGTGTTATGGCAAGACTCAAGTACCTTTATCAATACGAGAATTACGTAGTTCCCTGTAATAGTCCAGGTACTTTGGAGAAACAAATCCACAGCGACTCATGTATAAGAGAGAGTTTTATGTAAAGAA